TGTGTGAGGGAGGGAGAGAGCTGGAGAGAGAAATAAGTGATGATTAGTGGTGACTCAAGGCTTCCATGACCATAATCCATGTGAACTATTCACACTCGTACAGGTGTTTGATAAAAGCAATTCACAACAGAAGTGGAGGAAGTAAATCATAATGATTATAATATTTTAAAAGTTAAACATATTCTTTTTGCTTTTCCGGATGGTAAGAATACAGCTGTCCTTTACAGGAAGCGTTGCAAAAATGCCAGTTTTCATTTACACAGATACATTTTGAAAATGTTTTTATTAACAGTACATCTTCTCTTCCACCAGATGTGGAGTTGAATTTGTTATTTTGAAATTAACTAATGCTTGATAGGTTGTTTGTATAGTAAGGTAGCAGTAATAATGGAACATGCTTACTTAAACAAACACTGTCCACTTTCCTGTTGCCAATTCTATAAGTTGTTCATGGACATTTAGACCTCACCTAAAACAGTGTAATGTGAAGGTATTTTTGCCTCTGTTGCCTTGATAGTTTCACCCTGGGCAAACATTAAAAAGTAGGGTTTCAATGTTGATATGAAAACACGTGTTGCATTTAAAAAAACACACAAATATATCTAAATGTAGGGCCAATTTAGTTCAGATTTTAGTTCTTTAGGTTGATACTTAATTGTGGTTGGAGTAACACTTTATCACACTGTTTAAGAATAAAGAAAGTTTTGGTGAAGGTGAATGAGACCAAAAAACTGAATTAATTCCCCCGCCTAACTTGTAATAGTGGTTTGATTAGCAACCATGTAATGTACTTTACCCCCACGGATGGAGACAGAGGGGGAAGGGGGTGAAACGAGGCGAGGGATGGAGGGAGAGGTATAGCAGGAAGGAGGAGGAGGAGTGTATATAGGCTGCCCTCTCAGCATGTCACCTCATCTCCCCTCCTCCCTCCACTACTTTATTCCTCAGGACATACGTTTTTTCCCCCTACTCAAAAACCTACAGCATCACCTCCTCTGCCCACAGCACGCACGCACGCACGCACGCAGGCAGGCAGGCAGGCAGGCAGGCACGCACGCACGCACGCGCACACACACACACACACACACACACACACGCACACCACCATCTCCTTCCTCTCTATAGCTGCACCATGCTGTGTAAGCGGTGGGTGTGGGTGGGGTAGGATGGGGTTGGAGGTCAGAAGCAGGAAGTTTTTTTTTTCTTTTTTGGTCGCCCGCCCCCCATTAACAAGCTGCACGACTGCATGCAGGAAGTTGTTTGTGCACAGACACAATGCAAGTTTATTTGAATCCAGTAGGGAAAAGTGGGATGTGTTGTCACTCCGGTGGTTTGAGGGTTAAAGGCTAAAGAAAATGTTGAGGTAGCATCCATCAGTGTGTTGCTTTTACTGGCAGAGAAGATCAGGAACTGAAAGTCATCAGGAAGAAGAAAAAACATACATCTACACTTCTTCCTATTTGACTCACCACCCCTAGGTTCAAACATGTTTCATGTTCTTGCATTTTCTCTAAAGTGATTTTTATTTTACTCCCTGGAACATGTATGATTTGATGATTCAAAAAAACGTAAACTAAAATACCATTGTAGTTTTTTCAAACAATTCCTATTTTTTTTCCCAAGGAAACAGTGGAATCCCTAACTTTGGTTCATTTCAAAAGATAATAGATGACCATTTGGCGCTTTCACACCAAGTACTTTTCCCAGGAATAGTTCCTTTTTCTTTTGTTTCGGAACTATCTAGTAAATCGCGTTCACACCGGACTCAGGGGCCGTTTCTTAATCGCGAGTACACATGCTGCAGAGCAACTATTTCAAGTATACTACGTCATAGAGTGGCGCAGAATGCTGAGCATTTAACATGCATTTAAACTTCGGCGCCACTCGATGACGTAGTATACTTGAAATAGTTGCGATGCAGCAGTTTTACTTGCGATTGAGAAACGGCCAGGGTGTTTCTCAATGTTGAGCAAAGCTGCTCCAGAGCCACTATTTCAAGCATACTATGTCATCGAGTGCCGCCGAAGGACTGTTCCAATGTCCAGCATACTTGGAATTCTACCGAGCCCGGCGTACTTTGTAGCGAGAAATTTCGAGGCTCCACATGTGTAGACTCCGCGGTCTTAAAATCCCCACAATGCTTTGCGCACGGACCAATTTCCCCAAATCTGTGGCGGAAAATGTAAGGCGGGGCCTCTCATATGAAGCACACCTGCACACTTGCTCGCCTGTTCCACTCTTTGTTTTCCGAATGCCAGGAAGTATTCTTGTCTCGCTTCAGAAGCAAGTGACTCAGAAGACATGTGCTACCAAGCAAGCGTACTCAACATTGAGAAACACCATAAGGCCCTGAGGGAGGATTAGGCAAATGAAGCCGCTGAGTCACTTCTTCTTCTGCTTTGGGTTTACTGGCAGGCCGCAAACAACTTCACGGCGTATACTGCCACCCGAAGTCCCCGGCCGGAAGTCCCTGGAGTTGGGGACCGGCTTCAGTAGAAGCTGCTGGGACTCCCAGCTCTCTGAAGCCTTCCGAGTAAATCGCCAGAACGCCGACACCTCCTCATCTCCAATGTTTTTTTTTGTGTTGCCATAAGTTATTCTCTCTCCATTGGTGTGCACGGCTAATGCTAATGCTAATGTGTGCAAATACAATGGCGGCTTCACAAAACTCTACGAGTTTTACGGGGAGTGGTTTGCAATTCGCCCAGCCAATCAGAAATGGGAACCTTTTTCTCCCCAGGAAAATACCACCTCTCTAGCAGGGACTGAAAAGGGGAGAAAAGGTTCGTGAAAAAAATGATCTTTTGGGTGTGAACACAACATCCCAGGAACTATCGGAACTATTTCTGGGAAAAGTACGGGAAAAGTACTCCGGTGTGAAAGCGACTATTGTGTTTTCTAATTTTTTCAAACTTTTAAGAGTTCTTATATAGTACATCCCAACGTCAATGTCTATTGTACTTTGAATAATGTAGTGAAGACACAGATACAAATGCAGTTCTCTAATAGAAAAAAGTCATGAGCCAGGTTGGTGACTTTCCTTAACGACAAGAGAAACAACACTGTCAATATAGCCTATTGGTCTCATTACATTCCCCTTAATCTCAACACAAATTCAAAGCAAACTTATTTTTAAGTCTTAGGTGAACAATACAGTGTCTCCCTGCCCTGTGTGCCTCCCACCACGGCAGATCAGTGTTCCTCTCCCCCTCTGCCTCGCTGTGCTGTCGGCTCAGGGTGTGAGCAGAACAACGTTAATGTGTGGAGACACCTGACAAGCCCCTGGCCTCCAGGGCTCAGCCTAATCACTCTGGACCCCAACCCATTGGGAATTAAACCTGCAAAACCAAACAGTCGCTGTGGGAGCTGGCTGGCATCTGCTGCAGACCCTCAAACGGTTGTTGGGGGAAAGGACGTTGCAATCTGCATATCAGTGAGAATGTAAATATATATTATGCAAACCTGCAGTACAGTCAATTAACTGGGGGATATGAGTTATTTTTATCTTTTTCATGGAAATGTATAGCTTGTTCTTACAAATTACAGCATTTTCTAATCTTGAACATTATAAACTGTTCATGATGTGATGGTCACTCTTCCTGCCATATGTACATGACAATATTCCAATTCATTGAAATTATTTGGACGTTTTTTTGAGGCATCATCCATCATCGAGAGATTCTCCATCTTATATTGCTACTATTTTAACAGTGACAGTGACAGCTTTCAAGTCCCGGGGTTGAATCCTGTGCTCATGCAAAACATATCTATCTGCCATTGTATTACAAATGTCCCGAAAATTATAACTCTGTATGACCAGGCAGAGTCTGATAAACGCGGGCTTACGAAGGACGCTTGACAGCAAGAGGCCAAGAGTCAGTCTGAAGATGTGGCTGTAATGTGTTTGAACTAACATTAAAGCTCTTTTGGCAGCATTCAGAGTACAGTAGTGCGTTAACTTTAAAATTAATGGGGATTTTCCCAGTGTACAGTAGCTTGTTAACTCCGGTATCTGTTAAGCCACGCCAGTCCCCTCTCCAGTCTCTCTCCCTCTCTCTCCAGATGCCCTCATTAATTTTAGATTGGCTCTAAATGAGTCCCCTTCATCGTGGCCGAGGTTTTCTAAATTAGATTCATTTAAATTTAAATTGTGAAACAGGCGTGGTTAATGAGAGAATCATTATTTGTGGGGTTATTTCAGATAGGCTGATAGTGGGGCAGCTCAGTGCTGAGTGGAGGGAAGCCACCAGAGGAGCACATGATGTGAGAGGCAAAGCATTGGGCTTTTCCTTTACTCTAAAGAACAACTATGAACAGGATTTCAAGAAATAAAAGCATTCTCGAAGGAAAAAGAGAGAGAATTAGAATAAAAAGAACAAATAAGTCAATCATGATAGTAGATTTTTTTTTACAAAGACATGATGTTTTTCTGAAGAAACAAACAACATTGAAAATAGGGAAGCTTGTTAGCGACTTTTTATTTATGTGTTTATTTACCGCGTAGGTTAAAAGACTAAATTATTCACTGGTTAAGAAGCAAAGCAGTTGGGCTTTCCACTTCTCTAAAAAACAGCAAAGAACAGTATTTCAAAATACAAGCATTCTCGGAAGGAAAAGATGAATTAGTGGTCAGTGAAGTGATTTGAGTAGTAGCTCATTAAAATTAGATTAAAAATAAGAACAAATAATGAATTGATAATTGTTGAGTTTTTAGGAAAAGCTTCTGAAACAAGCAACATTGAAAATAGGAGAGATATTAGTGGATATTTTACTTTACCGCCTCTGTAAAAATACCAAATGTATGCATGTTTTTTGTATCTTATGTAAGAAAGGTGTATATGCAAAGTGACATCCACATGTCTGTCATACACCCACAACATATCTGTGTTTGTTTCCTTTGCTAACACCTAATTTAACACTCTTCAAACTAATGTGTCGTATTCAACACATCAGTAGGCTTTTTGGCACCACATGTGAGAAAAACGCATCACAAGACTCACATGTTGACTTAACAGGTGCCTCCATCGACACACGATGCCCCAACAAAGCAGCAGGACGCCTCTCCACCTAAACTGATAAAATTGGAGTGTTGGAAATGTCACATCAGAGGAAAAGAGGACGTGAGGTGGAACAACAGAGCTCCCCCCCCCCATCTGCCTCCCCATGAACCCATCCATCCTTCTCATAAAAAACACAAATCACACAGCGCTTTACAGCTGTGCGCCTCCTTACAAGACGTCTCACAGCTCTCGGCGTCCCATAGCAACCCACAGCTTCTCCCAGCCAGGAATTTGACTGTTAGGAATCTAAGTGCCAGGCGTTTAAAACCTGAGGAATGCTATTGTTCTGGTCACAGCTGCACTAGCACTGCAGGCCCAGCTACTGCTGCCACTGTGTGAGAGTAGGGGGGAGAGGGGGAAGGCGGAGGAAGGAGGGAGGAAGGAGTCGAAAGGTGTGAAAAAGGAAACTTTACGTGTTTCCACTGCTCTGTGGTTTCATGACAAAGCAGTGCATAGTTGACAGCGAGTTGATACATTCCTCCGGCCTGGATGATGGCAAATATCTCCCCACCCTCCCTCTTCCTCTCCCCCTCTCTTCTTCTATCTTCCTCCAGCATCATATATATTTGAAGGCAGATAAATTTACATACATTTCTTCAGTTTTCAACAAAAAACTGATGTAATTGTGTGGAGAAATAGTGAGTATTCAGGTCGTGTAAGTATGTTCATTACCAATGTAGTTTAGTATGGAGATCTTAGAATATGTAGAAATGCATTTTTGGAAATATAATATATTTAAGACTGTAATGTTGATGATAAAACATATTAGAACCAGCAACAGCTAGTTTTGTTTAAGTTTTTCAGTTGCACTTAATGTATATATAACTATTTATATATTTATAGACATTGTTAGTCTCTCTTATCAATCAAAGAGACTGTAGGCCCACAATAGCTAAGTTAGGGAAGCTCCTTCAATGGTCCTAGATGAGCTGAAATACTTTGAGATTGTATTAAATATACATTGAAAGCTAAATGAAATGTTTTTTTACCTGCACATTGTTTATATGTTTTGAAATCTTTTGAAGTCTTCACCAAAAACAAATCCTCACTCAAGCTTTTATGGATATTTTTGAACAGACATCACAGTGTTTTTAAGCAGTTTGTTATGGACTAAGCTCAGTGGTATATTTAGTTCACAATACATACATACCATATGCAGTTAGCGCCAGGATGGGAACCGTGTACGACATACTACACCAGGGGTGCCCACACTTTTTTGGCTGGTGAGCTACTTTTGAAATGACCAGCTCACCGAGGTCTACCAACCAAAAATAAAATCCCAAATTGCAAGGGTTGCTGAATAACACGTTTTATTTTTACATGGGATAACTACAATAGGGCTGCAACAAACGACTAATTTGATAATCGATTAATCTATCGATTAATGAAACGATTAATCGACTATTCGGACTATTACTGTATGCCTTGCACAATTTCTCAAACGCTCTTATTTAGCCATCAACTTTTAGATTTAGCTTGAGGTTGTTTTAGGCATGTGGAAACTAACAATGAAGACAATAAAGATGAGTACTTGATTACAAAAATACATATATTATTAAATTAACTTAACAAATTGTGAACAAAATTAACATTGCTTTTTATTTAAATAAAATAAATAATATTTCACATCAAAAGAAACAACAATGTTTTAACAAATCGTATTAAATAATCTGATGACAGAACTGTAAACAGAATAGCTGAAACTTTAACAAAATAAATAACTCTGTTACCTCTAATCATTAACCCATGTTTGTATAATTGAGTTAACTGTGTGTTGCTGCTAGCATACATAATGGTTGGGGGGGGGCTACAGAGCTACTAGAAACACAGTCGAACCCGGTGCATTCCTCCATCTGAATGTGGTGCACTTTTGCTAAATGTTTAGACAAATTGCTCGTGTTACCGCCCTTACATGCTAAACACTCTTGGCAAGGAGCATTGTCCACCTCAAGACGGGTAACATTTAACCACACCTTGGAGCGCTTCTCTCCGCCATCTCCTCCGTGTGTTGCTGCATGTAGCAGCCGCGTGTGTGTAAACTGCCCCGCCCCCCTCGCACACAGACGGAAGAGAGAGATCTCGTCTGGATTGGAAAGGTCGAAAATACACCGACCATAGACGCATTTGTTTGTCTTTTTGCATGTTAGAAACGAGTCGGCGACCCTAAGGGGACATGGAGAAGAAAAAAAAAAAAATGTTTTGCGAGATCTCGCAAAGGTTTTG